CCTCAACCACCTTTTATGTTTGCAAAAACAAATATATATATTTGCATTTTTATCATACAAACCAAGGTACCAATCAGGAACTCTTTGTATTTACTTTTACTTGTACAACATATATCTAAGTGTGTGTGTTCTTGTTTTTAATACATTGTGAGGCCCATTTTCTGAAAAAATAGCACATTGTGGGGCCCACCTGCTCCTGTCAGTCTATCTGCTGGACAGTGTAAATGATATGCAGTGTTCCCATGTCAACTAGGAGAAGGTTCATAGTGAGCAGCTAGGGGAAATGACTTCTCTTTCCAGGGTGTCTGGTCGTTCAGGTCTAGCTTTTCTCTGGAGAAAGGGATCAAAGCAATCATGGGCAAACCTCTTAAGAAATATAGATGTACAAATGTGTAGAATCACATCTGCTTCAAAAGGAAACACTACTGGGATACTGTGAGATAAGAGGGCAGTGAGTGAATGGAAAACTGGTATGAAATCTCTCTTGTTGCCTCATGAGACAAGGGAACATAGCTGTTTCCTGCTGTTCGCTTGGAGTACATCGGCTTGAATTGTGTGGTTGTGTGTATGGAAAGATTTGCTGAAAAGTAAATGAAGAATATTGACAGAAATGCTTAAAGTAACGCTGTTAAACATGTTGTAGTGTAGTGTAGTGTTAAACCTTACAGACTAGAATAGTTGAACTGTAAAAAAAAATCCCAATTATAATATGATTTTTATTTCAACAACACATTCTGACCAGTAATAACGAAATAAATTTTTGGTTTCTCCTTTTTTCATAAGAAGCTGAATGATTTAAGATGGTTTCTGTGTACATAAGGTCTATTTCTCTCGAAGATTGTTTATATTTTTTGTCTAGAGTACATCTGTGTTAGTAAGCAATTATCTTTTGCTGAGAAAATCCATCTAGTTTACAGGTGTGGCATATCAAGATTCTGTTTAGACAGCATGATTTTTGCATAAGTATGCTTTACCCTGGCAAATGCTTACAGCTGATGCGGTGAATCAAGTTGCCCATGTGGGTCGAGTTGCCCATAGTGGTGGTGGGGTTATAGTTGTATATTAGGGAAAAACAAATTTTCAATGCACAGAGAAACTTGTCATGTGGACATTTTTTTGGGGGCAATAATGCACTACCTCATATCACGTGTAGTTCCATGTTGTAAGGAGCTGATGAGCTAAAGATAAGCCAGGTCTTGCTTTTAATTTTCAGCTGCATTCATGGTCTTAAATTGTTCAAACACCCCCTCCCTAAAAAAACCCAAAATGTTTAATATGTTCAGCCATTTGGTTACTCTAAATACAATAAAATTAATTGCATATATCTGTTTTCTGTATTCATCTTACTAGAGGTCTGATTGTTGTTTAGAACATTCCTAATGTTCTGGGAGTGGTTCTAGGTTGACCAAGGTATTTTTTTTCAGTCACATTACAAGAGTCCACAAGAGACACAAAGAGAGCAGTCTCTGTCAGCTGGAATGAGATTCTCATATAATGATAACCATGAGTAAAAGCTACCATAGTAACAATTTATTTATGTAAAAGATTTGTATGAAAGTGCATGCCATTATCTAACTGCTAACTGCACCGGCATAATCAGTTCAGGTGAGCTGATTAATTATTTGGACGTAGTGAACTGCTGGGGGAGGGGGACTGCTGTGTTGCTGTCTGCTCTGTATAAGCAGAAAATCTGTTCTCTTTTTTTCTGGCATGTCATTAAAGGATGTTTCTTGTGTCTTTTTATTTATTGCCAAAGTGTCCTCTTCTGGTTATGTGGTATAACATATATAGAATCTGATTGCCTACTTGGACTAAGCCAAATGTGCTCTACAATATTGATATCTCAAGATCGAAACCTAATTTCCTGAATGTCTTTATGAAATTAAGACTGGATCCAGCATCAGTGCAGGCAGGCATCACAGATGCTATAGTAACCTTTCTGCATGACTTCCATGTCTGTGTCTCTGTGTTCATGTGTGGCCATGTGTTTGACTGGGGGGACAATTACCCTGAAAAATGCTACACTTTTGGGATTTAAATATAATTGTTGGGACCAATGACTGGTCCCGATGAGAAATTCTTATTTTGTGGTGGGGGTTTTTGGTGGGGGACCAAGGTGTGAATGCGTTAGACAGAAATTAATGCAATATTAATGCGAGTCAGTGGAAAGAATAGTGTGACAATGTGTGTGTTTCTTTTTGCACTCTTGTTTTCATATCAAAGTGAGGATTATTCTTTCAGATTTCGCTATCAAATTAAGGACAGTTTCTACTGGTGTTGCACGGATACTGATACCAGTATCGGGCTGGGGCCCCGATACTGCACTAAAATAGTGGTATCGGCGAGTACCAGCAAATAAGGCACGGATAGCATTTTGAGAGCCAAAAGGTTATTCAGCTACTGTCACCCATTCCAGGTAGGCAATAAAAAGTTCTACTGGATTCACTTTGTATTAGTCTTTTTCCTGCTTCACAAAGGTAGGCAGCAGCTTGACAATGCCATGATGGCAAATATTTTACATACAAGTAGTACGCAATTCTTCATATATACACACACACACATCAATTTTAAACAGATATTATCTGTATGGTATCAGTATTGGCCAATACTACACAGCCAGGTATCGGGTATCAATATCGGAGTCAAAAAAATGGCTTTGGCACAACACTAGTTTGTACCAATGTGAGGAGATTTTGGCTGGTCTTTACTTCCTATGTTCTAATCATTCAGCTTGAACTACAAGAGAACTGCACTGGTAATCATTTGGCGAAGAACACTCTTCTCCATGACTCTCCCCACTCCGTCAAATGACTAAGGCAGTTTCAGAGAATCAAAGGCAGTGCACGGGGCCGGCGCACATTTGTTGGAATCTCTCGTTTCCATAGCTGTATCAGGTTTATGAATGTGTGAGGAAGAATAAATTGTAACTGAGAACTAACTAGGGAGGAAAATAGACACATAAGAAGTAAATTGGAGGAAGCAGAATTGGTGAATGCAAGCCTGATTGCATTCACCCCTCCTTGATCGGGCATGGAAACTCTTGTCTCCTCTCCCTCCAGGTGGAACCAGAGGGAAAAGTGATAAGGAGAGTGAAAAAGGATATCAAAAGGTAAAGTAGGGTCAAATAGAAAACTGTCTTGTATATTAGTCTATGTTAAGAAAGGCTTAAATTGTTGGGAAAGCTGCAGTTTGTGGGGGCTACAAAAACTGGAAGAAGGTGAGGAGAGTAGTGAGGAAGGCAGAGAAGATTATCAGGGTTCCTCTTCCCTCCATAAAAGACATTTCACCCCACCGCTGCGTGTTCCGAGCCCGTAACATTATAAATGACCACCACAACAACCATCCCTGCTGCCTTCGAAGCATCCGATGCAGGTCCAGCGTATTCCAAAAAAGGTTGTTTTTTTCTTAAAGTATTCCAGTGACTGTCAACATTCTAATGGTTATATCATCTTCAAATCACAATTTATCCCAAAAATATGATTATGAAATTACCAAAATTCTAAAAGTCCAGCAGCAGAAAGGGAAGAAATGACCAGCACCCTGAAACTAGGGTCTCAAAGGGACAGACTTTCAACAACCCAAATCTGAATTTCACCTTAAGTTGAAAATCATGTCCATTTTTTCAGGCCAGGAGTCGTAACTCCTGAGGAAAAGTTTAATTTACTAATGCCTGGTGGAAAACCAAGCATTCATGCTCAGCATTAGTTGAGAGTAGCTAACCCTAGCTAAGATTTCTGGGTCCAATGGATTAAAGATCTGATCGGTTGAAATTGTATTTATTTTTAACTGGATTTAATCAGATCTAGCACCAGAGTATTTATGTAAAGCTTTGTTTATTTTTTACTTGTATTTGTCTACAATGTATCTATAAGTTATAGTTTTGTGAATTTCGGAAATTGTTAAAAAATTGCTTTAAAATAAATTTCAATAAAAGGTTCTAATTAGTGTTTATTTGGTGCCCGACTTGCTGCCAGTCTTGCTTTCTTTATATTGAGATACATAAGGGAAATATGTCTATATACTCACACAAGGTAAAATAAAATACCAACAAGCAAAATAATCATAATACTATCAGAATTTCAAAACTGCCTTTAGAACAGTAATTCTTTTATTTGAATATTAAAAAGCTTACAAATTGCTTGTATTGTTTTTTTTTTTTTAAATGTGTTTGAGAAAATAAGTTCTTTCCTCTAAAAAAATAACTGTTTAGTACAAATTTCTGCAAAGCTGACAGACAAGATTAATCTCCTTTGCAAAAAATACCAACCTAATGAAAATACTTTATGGGTAGAAATCCGCAAGGGGTTGAGCTTATGTATTAGTAACAGCTGTGCATGCGAAAAGCCTTCTCAGATTGCTGATATATGAATGGTGTACAGTTCTTTTTTCCCTTTCTTTGCTCTGTCCAGGTGGGCAATAACGCTTGACAGAGGATGCGACGGGGGCGGTGGCTTGTCAGATGGCTGGGAACAGCAATGGCTATCCTCTCTTTGATTACCCACAGCTGGGGCCAGGACACAGAAGGTATGAGTAGTCTGCACTTAGTCGATCAATCTCAGGCTTCTCATTTTTTCTGCGCTGACATAAGAAAACCGATATTGTAAAAAGCAAAGATTATTTTCTCTGTGAAATGACCTGTTTTAACCCCCATCACTAAACTGTGGTTTATAAGAAATATAATTAAATAAGAGTGTTTAAGTTCTAGATTGTAAAACTTTACAAACAGAAAAAAAGAGGTGAATTTTCTATAAAAGGTGCCAGTTCCTTTCAAATGTCTATAAAAAAGTACAAAAAAGGTACCGTATACAGTAGGTTCTACTAATAATCTGCAATGATCTGCTAATGCAAAATAAATCAAATTTAACCTTTGTATTATCTATTCGTACCTCTTATTCAAGAAAAAAAAAGATAAGTAATTGTTTATTCAAATTCAAAGTTTGTTGGCTGAATATTTAGCAAGAAGAAAAAAAATAATAATAATAACAACCCATAGTGCACCCCTCCACAATACTTATATTACACCCAAGATGTTCCGGTCAGACCTGATAAAAGTTTCTCCCTTTGTTTTGTTTTTTATTTTCAGTCAGTTCATTGTGTATCTATATACCACAGTTCTGTTTTTTTGAATTTTTACTTGCAAAGTATAAGCCATTTTCTAGTCCTCATTTCTTGGTGCGATCCAGTGGGTAGGTTTATCACTAAGGTGTGAATTAGATTTAGGTTTAGGGTCAGGTTTGTACTGGTATTGGTTAGGTTTCGGGTCAGAGTTATGCCAGAAAAAAAGCTTGAAAATGAGTGGAAGTGAGTGCCTGGTCCTTAGTGGCTGTTAAAACATGGATATGGATCTCTGTGTGATTCCAGTCTTTCTGCATCTACCACTTCTGGACAAAGTTAAAACTTTTATGAAAATTTTAAGCACTGACTCTCTTATTCCTGCTCATTCAGAGTTATCTATAATGGCAACCAATAGACACATTTTATGTGTAGGTCCTGGTGAAAATATAAGTTTTATAAAATAGTTGCTTATTAGATCAAGTTGACAAAAAAGTCCTACAGAAATGGTTTTGCAAGTTATGTTTGAAAATATTTTTTTCCTTATAGAAATACATAGGCTAACATCCCAGGATGTTAGGACTGCATTTTTAAAACCCTATAGTTTGAAGGTGAGAGGTGAAAATCATTGATGTATATATAGTGAACATTTGTTTTTTGCTAGTAATAAAATTCAGCTGGTTTAATAAACCCAGAAACACTGACTGAGTAACCAAACTGTGAACACAGCTCAATAATTTAGTCACTAAGTATTTGTAGTTATGACATTAATTTAAAGTTTACAAATTTTGAAGTAGATAACTGAGAACTCAGCTAAGCATTGTGCAAAGTTGTACTTTGAAAGGAAGATTATTGAAAAAAATGAAACTTACCATCTCCCAAGTAATAAAAAATATATATCTTTATTTAAATATTAGTGTGAATCTATCTTTCGTCCCACACACTTAACTAACCACACAAAAAGGATTCTCTTTGTATATTTTAGCTTTCCAAGCTGAACTTGAGAATCTTAACTGACCCGGTCTCAGCTCAGTGAGCTTGTAGCAGGTGCCAATTAAAAGCAAACTCCAACTGTATGAGATTGACATTTTGTTTGAAGACGGGATAGAAAATTTGCACGATAGGCTGGGGCTGGTATGGAATTCTGTAGGTGTGATTTCAGTTGTCCATTTTCTTGTGCTAGCCAAAGTGTTCCAAATATAGCTGACTTTGAGGTGTTTTACAATACAGCAGAGTGTGCATTGTCTTAAAAGGGCCAAAAATGGCAGAAAAGTTCTGGCACTCCCCTTCTTCTTCTATCAAACAACCTGAACCTGTAGAGCTTGCAGTTACAGGAGAGCGTTGGGGGAGGGGTATTAATGCCACAGCTGCTACCAACCCACTGATGAGATTTAGACAACACATATACTGCAGGAGTGGTATGACAACTTCAGTGGTTATAAATCTGACTTTGTCATACTGGAGTATACCTTGAAGGCGATAATTTAATACAATTTTCTTATGAAACAATAAAGTTTTTAAAATGGGGGATCCTTGGCACATAAGGGTGACTGAAATCTCTAGAATGTAATGTATACTTTCACAACATTTCTGTCTGAACGGCTTAAAAACCATTGAAGCGCAACATGTCTATAATGACATTGGCAGATTGTAAAAATAATAGATCTCAGTTGACCTGGCAGGTAATAGATAACTCCGGGAATCCTGATAGTTTACCAGTAAATAAACAGTGTTGGTTTTAAGTTACCTTTAATGTATTTGTGGTCTTTATATGAATATGATTTTAAAGTTCTACTTGCAAGTTTGCAAGAACAATACAGAAATTTGTCTTATAGATAATAACTAGTAGTTATTGTTCACTCTCCTTAATCTATACTTTTTTGAAAAATTTGGAAATGCCCCTTGTGCAAAAATGGTTATAAGAACAAATCCATACAGTATTAGATGATTTGTGTTTATTCTCTATATACCAGCCGCAATTGTCTACCACTTATTCTATGTAGCAAAGTACACTTTCAAATCTTCAATTTTCCAGATGTAATGAAAACTTTTTTGTTGCATTGGGCTTTTTAAAAACCCTGGAAATGTAAAATGTTTCAACATTGTTTTGGCAGACAAACGTTTATCAGAAAGAAAAGAGATAAAGAGTTTTGGGAGTAATGTTAATTGGATGGATTAGTCAAAAAAAATTTGATAACAGCACTGATGATATGATTTCCATATACTGGATATTGTATTGAATTTGATATATGTATGTGCCCAAATGTAGGAAAATGTTACATACATGTTATACTTAAAAATACAGTTCTCTATGGTGGTTTCCTTCAGTCACAGTGGCCGGTGGCAAAGATTAACCTAATGCGCAGTAGGCCTTTGTGAAGGAGTTTTATAGTTCTCTAGCAGCCAGCTGTGATATTATTGTATTGGTAAATAATAAGCTTAATCAACTTCACTTCAAAAAACAATCTATTTAACATACTTAAACTTGTAGTTAAAATACTTTAGTCAAGAACCTCTTAACCTGGGCTATTTGTTACAGGCTGTGGTCAAACCAGGAGCAATTCTTCCCAATGTTTCTGAGTTATTCACAGATCCTGAGGGAGTGGACTCTAAGAACCCAATGTCAAACTTTAATATGACCATCTGAATGATGGCACTTTCTGAAGTACTTTAAGCAGAAAAAATGCCTCTATGCCTTTATGCCTCTTTCCCACTGAAATTAGCGGGTTAAAGCAGGTTTTTCAAATACATTTTGACCTGCTAACAATCTGCATTTGGCTCCCTAGCCATAGGCAAAAAAAGACAGGTCCGCTGCATGGCCTCTTTCACCGCCCCATTGGATGACTGGTGACGCCATCACGCTATGTTAGTGTTGATGCTGTCACCAAACAATGGGAAGCAATATGGACAGCCAGCACATAGCCGCGTGCAATATTGTTTTGCTCTTCTGTCTGTCCGAATCACTCTTACCAGTGCTGCTCTGTTTTATCGAATGACAACAGAGTTGCTTCGGCTTGTTATTTCAGATGAAACTGGCGTGATGTTGTGATGTATGTACATTCTACGCAATGGTATAACGTACAGTAGCAGGTCGACCCGGGTTTGAAGTTTCCACTGTATGCCGATTGGAGCCGAGCCATTTAAAAACGATTTTAACCAGGGATCACTTGTAAGTCGTTTAACGCGAGTTCAGTATGAACACACCATTAGAGAAGCCAGGGAGATCGGTGTTTTCTGCAAGTAGGGCTGTAATGTGTTGTATTTAGGATTTGAATAATAATTTAAAAAAAAAACAACAACCAAGATAAGAAAAGATTTTACTATCATGATTATTCCTGTCTTTTTTTTCCTGGTTGAATGAGTTTGGTAGAAGAACATAGTGTTTTGGAGTCTATGGGAAGCTGTTAGAATTAAACTCACCTGCTGAACACCTGAGGGCGAGTTCATAAAAAAAATAATTATACTACCAATTATGTTCTTTTTAGTTAAGGAGGGAAATGATAAATTATAAATGGCAATTACTCTCCTTCTTCCTTTTTTGTTTTTATTATTTTATTGAACGAATAAAAAACACAGTTAACCAACTACCTAATTCTCATTTTGTTTAATTTAGTTTTAGATAATAAAAAATATTATACTATACTATATTATACTAATATTTTACACTGATATAATATCCAAAAAAAGCAATATAATCGTAAAAGTTTAGTCCTTTAGTTCACCTCATGAGAAACCAAAAGCATTTGTGCATACTGCATTCATATATGTTCCTTTGCCATTTTTTTTTTATTTTATTCTACTGTAGGCCTGTATGCCTCAAGATGTCCAATGATTCCTATTACCTTCCTATCTCTTTTTGCTGTTATTAAATCCATCCGTTTATTGTGTATTACCTTTGGAGAATGTTTGCTGTGACAGGACTGTGTCCCATCTTGAAGAAACCAACATCTGTTTTCAAGCAGCTTTAAGTAGCCTATCTGCATAAGTAGCCATGTGAATATTTTGACCACAAAGCTTATTGGCTGACACGCATAACAAAAGCCTGTGTGGAGCCAAAGAAAGCAGCTACATAAATTAGCTGTGGGTTTGCCATTCCCCACATGCATATGTGAGCCAGCTTGGATTTATGCCAAATACAGACAGAATTAAACAAAGTTTGCATTTTTAGAAACCTCTCAAACTGTCCGTTGGAGCATTTAGCCATTTTATCATAACTTCAACTGCACATTTTGCAATAAAGATATTGGTGTCATCTCTCTGTATTTCTCATTTCAGCTGTGCCAATTTGTTATTATTTTTTTCCTGCATTCCCAGTTCACTGATTTATTTTTTAAGGAAAAATCCAAAGAGCTATGGAACTAAATACACTACAGAAACAAAAAAAAGAAAAAGAATAATACTATACAACATCCATCCATTTTCCATTATGCTTTTCCTTGCCTGGGTCACGAGGGGTTGCTGGTGCCTATCTC